CACAGGGACACTGGCCTGGCCTGCGGGGGGAGAGACTTCACAGTCGGGCAGTGGGGGCTGGGCCCGAGGCCGGAGGAGGGGCCGACCCACCCCTGTAGGGGGAGCAGGTCTGGTCTCAAAGAGAAGGTAGGAGCCAGGCAGGGGAGGAAGGAGGTGGGACAGAAGGCACAGCCCGTGCAAAGGCCGTGTTGGAGCGAGCAGGGCCCTCCGCGGTGAGGGGGAGCCAGGCTGCACAGAGGGGCTGTGCGCACCTGCAGCGGAAAACCTCCCACCGCCCCCCCCTGCCCCCCTGGCCCGCGGGGCTCAGTCGGTGGAGTGTCACCCCGGGCACTGAGGGGTTCCGGCTCGATCCCCGGGAGGGGGCTTGCGGGAGGCGGTCAGTGTTTCTCTCTCATTGATGTTTCTCTCTCTCTTCTGCTCCCTTCCTCTCTCTCTCAAATCAATAAAAACATATATATTTTTTAAAACCCAAACAAACAAAAAACTTTGAGGAGATAAACTTCCTTTCTACAATAAGAGTAGCGCCTGTGCCACTTTCCTTCTTAAAAACAAACCAACACCCTCCATCATTTCTGCGTCTGGAGGGCGGAGCAGCCCTGGGGGGGGGGGTTGGTGAATAAATAAGAGGGACTATGTGTGAGTCCCGGCTCTGCCGCTGTGCGCGGTGTGAGCACACGCAGGCTCTCGCCTTCTCTGAGCCTCAGCCCCGGCGTGGTGGTCCTAGCGCAGTGATGGCGAACCTATGACACGCGTGTCAGAGGTGACACGCGAACTCATTTTTTTGGTTGATTTTTCTTTGTTCAATGGCATTTAAATATATAAAATAAATATCAAAAATATAAATCTTTGTTTTACTCTGGTTGCAAATATAAAAAAATTTCTCTATGTGACACGGCACCAGAGTTAAGTTAGGGTTTTTCAAAATGCTGACACGCCGAGCTCAAAAGGTTCTCCATCACTGTGCTAGCGGGACCTCCTTTACAGACAATGGAGGGACCCTGAGACCCCGGGCAGAACACAGCCTGGAGTTGCCTGGTGACAGGGGCCAAGTGAGGAGGGAATAGAGGGAGGGCCTGAAAGGCAGGTGCCAGGGTAGAGCGTGGGGAGGGCGGCCGAGCTGATGCCCTGTTTCCTGGGCTTCTGAGAAGCGGGGAGACCTGGGGCAGGCTGGAAGGGGGCTGGCCCAGGTGGGTGCCCGGCGAGTTCCACGGCACGTGGGGGCGTGAGGTGGCCCAGTGTGGGTGCTGAGGGGCAGGGGGCACAGCGCTGGAACTTGGGTCGGTTTGTCCTAAGACAACAGACTTCCTGCACTTGCCCTGGGCCCAGTAAGATGGGGAGGAGCTGGTATCCCAGGTGGCGGGGATGGCATGAGCCAAGGCCCTGGGGTGGGCAAGCAGGGGGCACCCACAGAGACTGCTGGCAGGTCTGTGAGTGGCACCCATGTGGGGGCATGAGGGTGAAGGCAGGGTCCACCCCATCCTGGGAGCCCCAAATGCCAACTGAGAACTCATTCCAAAAGGGAAAATTGGATGGCTTCCCAGGTTTCCACACTCTGGTCGAAGGCTTCACAATGCCTCTCCCCGCCCTGCTAAGGACTTGGGGTGTGTGGGGGGCTGCCTCAGCTGGGACAGGGCCCGGGGCAGAGGACCAGCATCTGGGAGGAGGCAGACAGGGCCGGTGGGGGAGAGGAGGTGGAGGGTGGGCATGAGGAGAGGAACCAGGACTCCTCACGGCCCCTCCGCTCTGGGACCCCGAGATGGCCCCGTGCCGTGTTCTCTCACCAGCGCCGCCGATCACCTGGCCGAGCGATGGCCGAGCTCCCCTCTCAGTCTCTCTCCGTCTCTCCCCAGCAACTACACCGCCTTGCTGGGCGTGTGGATCTACGGCTTCTTCGTGCTGATGCTGCTGGTCCTGGATCTCCTGTATTACTCGGCGATGAACTACGACATTTGCAAGGTTTACCTGATGCGGTGGGGCGTCCACGGACGGTGGATGAAACAGGACCCGCAGCGGTGGGGGAACCCTGCCCCGCCCCGGC